CTCCTTTTCCAGATATCTCATTATATATAGAAAAATATACTAAAATTTGAAAACATGCCAAATAAGAAATACTTCTGTTCCTATGAAGCTCAGAAGGAAGCCCTTCAAGCTGCATTAACTTCTCCCTACATCAGAAGTTTTAGAAGCAAACAAAAACAACGGCTACCAGACCAGACCACTAACTTGCCCTACATTTAAGGACAGGATTTGGACCTTTGAATATATTTTGTACTTGACCCTGGATTTAGCTCCTCATCTGAAGGGCCAGTAGCAATTTTCTATAGTTGATGTTAGTATCAACAGAGGGTTGGAAAGAATACAAATAGGTACTCTTTAAAAAGAATAATATTTATAGAGCTACAGTCTTGAAACTACAGCCACTGTGACCATGTGGCTTTGTATTGCCTTCTTAGTATTTTTGAGTCACACCTGCCCTAACAGATGACAGACCGGGTCATAAAATGCAAAGCTTTGTGAATACCATATAAACCTATATTTTTAATAATTTCATTGTTGTTGTGGAATATAAATCTGGAAATCAAGAGAAAAAACTTTTTTATCCTTTTCAGGCCAATTTTCAAATTGTTTTATAAAGTACTATGTAGTCAAGAGAGATCTGAAAAACTAAAATACCAGTATTTATAACATTTTTATGATAACTGTGATTTTTATTCAATCTTGTCTATTTAGGTTATAAATATTATTCTCTCTGTGTGTCTCTTTGTGTATCTGCCTGCCTGCCCCCCCCCGTGTGTGTGTGTGTGTGTGTGTGTGTGTGGGTGTGTGTGTGTGTGTGTGTGTGGTTGTGTGTTGGGGTGTGTGTGGATGCACGTGTGTGTGTGTCCATGAGGCAAGAGGACAACCCTCTGGATTCTCTCCTTCCACCTTGACATGGGTTTGAACGGAGGACATTAGGCTTGCTCTGAGCCATCTCACCCTGCCCCCACTGTTTCTATTTTGAGATAGGGTCTCACTCTACAGTCCTGGCTGGCCTTGAACTCATTGTGTAGCACCAGCTTGCCTTGAATTTATGTTCCTTCTCCCTAGGGTTCCTGAATGCATATACCATGGCACTCTGCAAGTGACATCTGGACATATACTCCATGTCCCAACTTGTGGAAGCCATACAACCATGGCCCTGGGTAGTCTCAGCAGGTCATGTCCTACCGTTGGCATTGGCCAGGCCACACTGTTCTTCTAATCAAAGGAAAACAGCCAAGAGCATCACACACATGCACTTCTGAGAACAACACCCCCACTTGTGCAATTACCTTGACTCGGGGTATTTGGTGAGCGTGGCCAGGCTGCTGGTGTACATGTGGCCACCTACATCAATGTGGACGGGTGCATTGGACTTGGTGAGCTGAGCTGGAGTTGGAATGCCTTGGTTGTTCAGTGGCGATGCAGGGGATCTGGTGATCAGGGGTCTTGACATATTGGGCCGACTGTCCTACAGAGAGAGAAGCACATTTTAGATATGGTTTCTGTTGTTAATGCAAACAGAAAGCATAAATCATAAGAAATGAGCAAGTGAGCACAATGATAACCACTTGGTAATAAAATCTGGAAATCAGCAGGTTCTCTCACTTTTGTTTTAATGAATAAGCAAAGCAAACCCTGCAACAGAGAGAAAGAAAACTTCATGTGCCTAGCTAGGATCCCATTCTGATGACTCCGAGGGCTTATTATACAAATCAATTTTCACATTATGCAAATAGCAAGTGGCTTGTGGAGAAATCCTATTCATTTCAAATGAAAAGATAATCAATGCTTAAAACAATACACACCCAAATAAAGCATGTGTGGTTTATACTTCTCTTTGAAAACTTCCTCATTGTTATGCACAAGGAACTAAAGCAGATCTTAGCCATGTATATTCTAGAATACAGTTTCCTAAAGTTCTATTTTTTGAATCACAAAAGAGTGTTGCATAGTTCTAGCCATCAGCTGTTCAAAGAGACACCACGGGTTTATCAGTCAATAGATTAAAAAAAAAAAATCAAAAGCCAATTACTTGCTCCCTAGTTCTCTCCCTGGGAGTCTGTGGCTCTGGGATGCTTCAAAAACAACAGAACCCTCCAGTGGTAAATACGTGCTTGCAGATCACAGAAAGCGCCTTTTCTGTGTCTTGACTTCTGAAGAGATCAAGTGTCCAAAGTGAAGAAGATGAGCTGGATGCTGCTACTACCATTTGGAGTCCTAACAGCAAGCGGTGTCATGTGAGTGAGCAGACCAGAGTGAGGGCAGCATGTGGCAGCAGCAGGCATGTGTTCAAGGAACAGAAAGGATGCAAGTTGTCCCAGGATACAGCATAAATGCTCAAACACAGTGGGCAATTCCAAACTACAGGCAAGACACATCAGGTTTCTGGCTCTCCACAAGGGTCAACTATTCGATGCCTCAATTAATGATCAATTGAGGAATAAACCGAAAGAGCATTATGAAATACCGAACACAGAAATACACACACACACACACACACACACACACACACACACACACCATTCTCAGATTTGTTATTTAGTCAAAGACTGTTTTCAAACACACTCACCATGTATGCCAAAAATAGTTGTGGGCAACATGAAGAATGTCTCTGATAGAGATTTCAGAAGTCTTAAAGTGCAAGTGATAACAGAAAGTGCAAGTGATAACATAAATTTGCAAAGAATCATGGGTCTCTTGATCCTAGAACAGCTTGAGGAGTTACCTGGAGCTCATCTGGTAGACTACTTAGGGTTAAGCACAAGTCCAAGCGAGACTGTGACTGGGCAAGCTTTCCCAGGCAGCCACTAGGAACAGTGAGGTGACAGGCCTTGCATCAAATGTTTACCATCTGTGTGGCATTCTTTTGCATGGCACATGAAACAGAGCCCAGAAACTGTCACTTGAAAAGAGTTCATTTTTCAGTTCCTAAATTGGGTGGCAAATCCATGGGTATTCACTAGTGCATTCTTTACTGTATTTTTCAATAATGCAAAATAGAAATTAAGAACACAAAAGGGTGCTTGGAACACATAAAGAAAAGGAGCTGAAAGGGTTATTAGGTCTGGGAGGGTAAGGGTAGGGGATACAATTACACAAAGTCACAGATGGTAGAACATTGTATGACTAAGTGCCAGAAGTAGCATTTTCAATTCTGGATGACAGAAAACATACTTTACCCCTAAAAAGTGATCAAGGGCTGTGGAGATGGTACAGTAAATAAAATGTTGGTTGTGTAAGTATGAGGAATGGAGTTAGAGTTTATATACACCCTGGCCCAGTAGCATGAGTCTGCAATTCCTGTGTTCCAACTGCCCAAGGAGAAGTAGAGGGAGGAGACTGCCCAGGAGCTTTTGAGTCAGCTAGCCTGGTGCATGAAGTACAACTGCAATCAGCAAAGGGATCATCCTAGTTAGGGTTACTATTGCTGTGATGAAACACTGTGACCAAAAGAAAGTTGGCAGGGTTGGGGTTATTTGGCTCACATTTCCACATTGTAGTCCATCACTGAAGGAAGTCCGGGCAGGAAGATGGATTCAGGAGCTGAAGCAGA